CGCTCTTTTGAGTAATTATTAGCTGTCAACCATATTCGCGGTTGAAGGTGCACCGCCTGCGCCGCTCTGGAGCGGTGAAAAAAAACTCGGGGAGGAGACGAAGTGGCGTCCAAATTAGAGCATTCACACGAATGTTGGTGGGCTAATGTCTCTCTGAAATTACCATATTCTAACCCACTAATTTACACCTCTTTAAATCACATCTGCGCACCATAGTGGAATGCTCAATTTTGAAGTGCATCAAAGAATTTGGTTTGATTTTGACGAGGCACTTATTGTAGTAAAGTAAAAATATTGACGCGAAAACTGAGGCAGTGGCAAATTCCTAATCCTGTTTGATATTTGACGCGAAAATTGCAGATGCTTGAACGATTCGTTGTTTCCAGGACGAAGGAACGCAACCCAATTCAAAGGTTGCAAAATTGACTCAAATAAGTTAATTTTTTACAAGAATGTACTCGTGCAATTTTTTTCCAAAATTTGTCGGATTTTTGCATTAATTATTAAAAAAACTCGGAAAAATTTTCAGTCAGAAATATGCAAAATTCTCCTGGTAAAAGAGCGATTTGTGCAGGAAAAGTTGGCAACATTGAAATGTAGCTACGCTCCTTTGTGAGGACAACGACGAATTTCAATAAGCGCCTATCTCGTGTTTGAATTATATAAATATATTTTCGTCAAGGAGCCAAACTAATGCCAATTATTTTCTTGGCCTTTCTTCAATTTTCACATAACGGTTTACTTTTTTACTCTTGACCTTCATCATTGGGACGTATTTCTATCAAACGGAATTATGTGCATTATGACGTGAGCCCTGTTATGCGTGTATTCGTATGGTCTCAGGGCTCATGTCCTAATGCACGTAGTTCCGTTTGATAGAAATACATCCATTTGAATGAATGAACATTGTGGTACACAATTTTTTACCTTACTCATTGATCCATCCTGAGAGAAAAGAGATTATTGCATAGAGGTACGGTTCCCTTTTCGTGCCAGAGTTTCCAAACGCAGGTTCAAAGAAGGAGATATTCGCGAAAAGTCGGAGAAAATGCCACAAACCACTCGCACGAACACAAGTTGACGCATGCGCAGGTAGCGCACCGTGAGTTATTATCATTGATGCATGAATGTGATAGCTTCTGGTTTTTCTCATTATTATTTTTTCTCTTGTCATTTTGTCACGCTCAGTCATCATGATTCATGAGTCTCACATTTGGACGTATTTCTGCTAAAAGGAACTATGTTTCATGCAATCCCTATTCACATAGTTCCTTTTAGCACAAATACGTCCATCTGTGAGATGTGCCATCAGTCTCGTTGTCAGAGTCGGAAATAGGCTGAACCGCGAAGGCAAACCTGCAGGTTGAAGGATGAGAGTATGCTCTCATCAGAAGACAAGAAATGCAGTTTTTCCCCTATTACATTTTGCAGCTTCGAGTAACGCTAGAAAGGTATGATACCATCTCCTCCTCGGGACTAGAACCGAATTTTGACCGTATAATATACTTTCATCGTAAAATATGATTAGATAATTCAAGTATTATCACTGGCATTTTAACCGAGGAAATATGATATCGTATTTAATTGAACGGAAAAACTATGGGAAGCGCACGGGCCTTGAAAGAAAAAAAGTATAAACCGTGGTCAGTGTTTGAAACGCACGCCGGCCAAACACCGAGTATAAATAACACTGATCAAAATTATAAAAACACGTATAAAACTTTGACTTCGCTCACATTTTCTCAGTTTCTAAGTTGTAATCCTCAAAAACGCTTGTTTGCACACGGGGAAAAAGAATTGCTGATTCAACAATTCAACTGCCAAAAAGCAGTGAGTGCAATGTTTCAACGCAGATTTTACAACAAAAAAATGCTACTTTAACCACCCCCGTGGTTAAATTAGTTTACAATTTGGTTAAAGTAGCATTTTTTTGTTGTAAAATCTGCGTTGAAACATTGCGCACACTGTTTTTAGCAATTGAATTGTTGAATTAGCAATTCTTTTTTTTTTTTCGTGTAATGTGCTGTCGGCCATATTGAGTGATGATCTACCAAATGCATAGGTTGGCGGCGGCTCTTTTCTAGTTTTTCACGTTGTCACCCTTTTGGGCCCTAAGAGCTACACGAATCGAGCTGTCCATACGCTCCCTATGAAGGTACTCTAGTCTATTAGTTCCAATAATCAGCCTGCTGTGTCCTTTTCTGGACTCTGCGCTTCAGTATAGAGGCGGCCTCTCTAGAGGCGACGAGTCAACACTGTCCTTGCGGGAGCTTGGGAGCCAGAGCCTGGAAGCTCCGAGGAAATCGCCGAGGAAGACGACGAGGACGAGGCCAAGCGGGAAAAAGGCTCCAGTGTCATATCTCATTGGCTCGTTGCACACTACTCCTTCTCGCTCTCCTCGTCTTCGAGTGTTCCGAGTAACGGTCAATGACATAGGTTATGTCGGTCCACGCTGCGCCAGGCCGGCCACCGCCCCGCCGCTCCTCGTCTCCGACCGCGGTTATAAGCTGCGTTTTACCACCCCCCCCCTCCCCAGTGCACGCACATTCGCTCTTCGACCCCCCCCCCCCCCCCCCCCCCC